ACTAGCGTTGGGCAAAAAAATCGATTATAATCAAACGATAACTGATAATCGAGTTTGCTTATTCTTTTTGTTTATAGTCCATTATTTCCTTAATCAATGACTTGATTAATTGATTTATCAGTATAATCGATTATTCAAACTTGTAATCGCCCAGTGCTATTAGACAATGCAAAAAGATATTAAATAAATGATAACATTGTATAAGTAGCTAATAGATTCACTTATTGTGTAGAATGCTCTTTTTTTAGGAACTTCTTTGCAATATACCGGGTGATCGCCAAGTAGTGCCGACAGATTGAATTTCCCGTAAAACTAAACATTTATAAAGTTGGTAACATACCAAATGTCATTTATGTAAAAGCAGTGGTGGATCAATTTAATCACTAATGCATAAATAAACTACATTCTAAACATGTTTGCCAATTCCTTAAGTAAAAAACATTAACAACTTAAAGCGCCCGATTTAAACTGTCTGCAGTTCTTTTTGATCACCCGATATTGAAATAAATGTAAGGTTTTTGTTCGTAAGTTAGACTGGAAGACATTGAATAAATTGAGTGTTGTAACCTCAAAATTAGTTAGTGCAGGGGTCGGCTACCTGCGGCTCTTTTGATATAAAGTTGCGGCTCTCCGTATTTATCTAAAGAAATTAGTTCGATTGTTCGAAATTCGCCTTTTTAATTAATCTTATTTGTTTACGAAATCAAAAGTACACTTGCAGCGAATAATTATCTAATTTGTGACACTTGTTTACTTTCTGGTATTCTTTTGTTTTTTTATGATAGCAGCCTACTCCGATGTATAAACACGAACTTTATTAGATCATAGACCAAAGTATGTGGCATTGATCAAGTCTGTAAAAAAAAAAAATATAGTATGTATAAAACAAACATGTACAGGATTGACAAATAAGTTAAAGGATACAGGTACAGATATATGAACCAAAATGGAAAGACAGTACAAAATTTAAAGGCAGAAGGCTTCAAATTCTCCCAGTGAATAGAAACAATTTTGTAACAAAACAAGTTTTAGCTCTCTTAAATTAATATATTATATAATGAAAAATATTGAATAACATAAAAACTGCGGGGTTTAAGCACAGGGTACCCCTTATAAACATTGAAGACAACACAAAAGACAAACGAATAGCGAAATAAAATAGAGGTAGTTCCATTTGAAAAAGAATAGTTATAGCACTTTGAACAAATGGCATTGAAACAAGTAAAAATATGCAGGATGTTCTATTTAAAAAGATCATTTATTTATTGACATCGTAAAAATGGGACACCCTGTACATTCAAAAATAATTTCTGTAGATCCGCAACCACCAATATTTTTTACCAGGTATTAGCTATGTAGGAAAAACCGACGCACTGTTGCAGGACCCTGTATATAGCCAAATACTGTAATACTGAATCAAAAATTTTTTGTGACTTTAAAAACTGAGAAATGTTGGGCTCTTCCGTTTCAATAAGTTGCTGACCCCTGACCGTTAGTGACTTCTTCAACCAGCAGAATGGTACACAAAGCAAAAGCTTATCTTTTGCTTTGTGTCCATGCAAGAACAAACATTCTAAAATATTACTGTTCAGCTAGCTCAAAACAAATTAAAATTGAAAGTTAGAATTTTATTATCTCCTTGTACGCTTCTGGCATAATTTATGCTATAATCACTAACCTTGATCAATTTCCGAAAATTCCAAAGAATTTATTACACAAGTTTTGATCAACACCTGAAATAATGAAAACTATGCGTGGGTGGCACTTTTGATTCGAGTAAACACAATTAATTGATTGACAAAGACAAAAATTGATTCCGAAACTCATGAAAGAATTCAAATAAAATCCCTGAAAGAAGGAAAGGTTTACAATTGGTCAATTACCCTGCACACCGGCGGTCAACAATAAAAATAAAAAAACTTACATTATTGTACAGTTTTTTTTCTTAGTAATCCAAATAATCTGATTGGAAAATGTTTGCAATACAAAGTGCACTTTGTTATAATTACGTATGTGAACTGTATTACGTTCTGAACACTATAAAATACCAACTACAACGAATTACACATAAATTAGAAATGACGTACGTGGATAACTTGTGCAACCCCGTGAATATGAAAAGGACACTTGAATTTCTGAACGATGTCGGTATATACCAAGAAGTGTGACCTGAAAATGTGAGGTAGTAGAAACAGTTGTGTGGTACAAACTGGTGTATAAAGGGGATATGACCTTAGATGTTAAACCCTATACAAAAAAAAAATCATGTAAAAAACAAAACACAATCTATAGTACGCCAACTCACCCTCTGTTGTCGCAAATGGCAACCACATGTTTGAGAAAGGTTTATAAAAAAAAAGGGTATAGGGGAGATGAGTGATACACGCGCGTTAATAAATTTCGCATCCGACCAATACGTCCGGAATAGATAAGCCTTAGCCCTAGTCAAGGGGATGAGCCGATGCTTATGCCATTCTTGTGGTGCTATATACGTTGTGGCTAATGTATTCGGCATTTAAACTTGCGTGACCATCACGGGAACTAAATGCCCGATGGTACAGCTGGAGTCCGCCCCTGACCGCTAATTTACTGGATCGATTGACGAATGGCGTTGCGGTATCAGTTTTTTTCGTACATGTACGCTGATCGGCAATTCGAACTTTAGATAGTATAACAACCTTGTGATGCCCACATTTTTAACGATTTGAATCGAGTGGCGTAGTCAAAAAACAATTTTGGACCACCGTTTCTGAGGGTTTCGTTTTGCGTCATTTGATTTATTATTGAACGTTCTACCTATTCTTCTGGCGTTATTGATGCCATTATTTTAGTTTGTATATTCTAAGCGCTTCTTTGCTAGCGTTGGGTCAAAAAATCGATTATAATCAAACCATAATCGGGTTTGAATTCTTTTAAATGAATCGATTATTTGATTAACAATTATTTTTAATAATCAATTATTCAAACCTGTAATCGGGCAGTGCTACTCGCTACTGCAATATTACGGGAGCCTTAAAGTTCACATGCAACAAGCAAATTGGTTTAGCCATTTTAATAGCCTTTTCTACATTCGTTTCAATGGCCTTTATTTATTTATTCTCCCGCCCAATTACGGAGTGGCCCGCATAATGTTTTTTAGAGGTGCCCCTGCACAAGGTCTTAAGTTGTTTTATACTACTCCGGCATTTACAATACGAATCAGGAAAATCTAATTCGGAGTAGCTAGTAGAATGCTCTGAGGGAACTGATCTAAGGAAATTCCCACCTCTGCCACAGATGAAAAATTCTTGCCTCAGTCAATTTTGAAGACAGTTTCTAGGAACATTCCTAAGTAGGTTTTCATAAATTCTGTTAAGAACGCTTCAAAGTAGAATTCAAACTACTGTACGTTAATAGCGTTCAAAATTTAATTTTCTGATCTACAGTAAAACATCTCAATATATAAAATTCTCTTTAAAACATTAAAAACTAAAATCACAAAGGTTACAGTAGTAGTTTCGCTAATAAAACAGTTGCCACCTTTAAATTTTCCTTCGTGGAATACTTTTCATAAGGGTAGTGGCATTCGTAATTTGGATCTTGTACTTTATGGATCTGCTTCAACATATCATGGATTACATCATTCATTTCTGTTTCGCTATAATAACCGACAATATTGGACAGCGAGTCCCACACCTTAGATGAGGGAATGATGATCTTCAGGGCGAGGAAAATCGCTGCGGCTGCCTGAACTGATGGTATAACTGTAGAAGAGGCCTTATGCAGTATATAACACTCCAAAATATAATGTACCGCGATATGTAAGAGCTGAAAATTAAGAATAAGGAAATCGTTTCGAAGCAACATGCCCTATTAAGGCGTAGAAGAACGATATGTTACTGTCTTTTATACTAGTTGTATTTGCTACTTTGATTAGAAACCTGTCCTAATTGTTACTATTAACTAGGCATATTTCCTCACAAGTAACTGGCTACATTTGTTACAATAGGACAAACTCCCAGTTAAACTAGCTATATATAAGTAGCATCCGTTAAAAGTAGCACAAATTATGGCTCTCCTACGCTTTACTACATACTTCACTTGGAATCCCCAGTTTGATTATGTAAAAGTTGACATAGAAAATGATATCCGGAACGTTAAAGTCAAATCCAAAAAAAGCCAGCATCTTTTTCTCAAGCTTTAAAATTTGGTCGGCCGTGTAGACGTTGTTGCACAAACGTGCTAACTTCTTTGCCTACGGAAGGAAAATCAAAACCGCAGTATTTGCAATCCGACTTACAGTGACAAAATTATTGTTTTCATATTTCGTAACTATCCACATAATTGTAAGGCCGAGAAGTTGGTACATATTCTGCGAGACGTCTGTAGCCGCTAGAACAGAATCGAACATACGCACCGTGGTAAAAAGCACTGCTGGTGGTTGATTTAGAACTTCCTAAAATTGTTGGAAATTAGTATTCCCGGAAATCGTGCGATGTGGCAAACCTGAGCCTGGATTAGCCAATTCACTATGATTGCTCTCGTATTCATTGCGTTGTAGGGCACGCTTCCTTTAGGCGATACGTACTTCCAATCTTTCGTTAGCTCGTGCAGCATGATTTCCTGAAAATTGAATTTTCTTGTTACAATTTTGGTTTAAAAACAACGACCACAAATACGATTTTTTCGTTCATAAAAGTTTACTATCTTTTACCAAACAAACCCATCGACTTTATGCCACGTTGTTACGTAAACCGATATAATTTTTTTATATGACCGGGTAAAAAAGTATATACTGTATTGAGTAGCATTTTTTATTATGAATACAACGATGAACGGCACTACAAAAAAAAGTTGGAAACTGTTGGTTTCAACAGGATGGTGTACCCGCACATAACAACCTAATTGTGCGAGAATACCTATTGGACATATTTTCCATTTGCCAGAAAATTTGGATTCGTTACTTTTTATACTCAAAAATACAGCGATACCACATTTTGCCAGGTACGCAATTCTTTTTCGTACGCTCATTTATAGATACATAATCTTGGGGAGGAAAAAACCTAGTTACAAAATCATAATGCCCATAAACCCACCTTCTATGTGTTAATGTTGCATGCTTTAAAGAAAACCAAACAATTCTGATTACTTCCGAGGTTGCCAGAAAAACCAAAATTTTTTGATTTTGTTTTTCTTTTTTTCTGATGTTATTTCTAAACAGATACAAAAAAAAAAAGTTCTCTCACTGCTATTTTTTGAGCTCTACAAGATACCGTTGAGAGATTTTCAATACAACATTTAGTTGTGGAGAAATCATCATCAAGTTTATTTTTTTATATGACCAGGAAAAAAAGTACACACGTATTGAGTATCATTTTTGATTACGAATACAAGGATGTACAGCACACAAAAAAATGGTTTCAACATTATGGTGCACCCGCGCACAACGCCCTAATCGTGCGAGAATACAACTAACGCCTCTATTGCAGATTTTTTTTATCACCATTAAATTACTACTCATCTTTTGCAGATTAAGAACCTTTCTGATCCATATCTGTAATTAATTTCACATTAAATAAATTTTAAATTAAATTTAAATTAAGAAAGGCTCAACTTTACGGTTCCATAAAGATTGTCTCCATTTTTTTCTTAAAAAAAGCTATGTTTCCTCCAAATTTCAGACCCCTACGACTTTTTCGCAAAAATAAAAACGGTTTTTCAGTTTTTTCTCGTAGGTTAAGTATGTGAAAAAGTGTAGATACAAAAGTTGTTCATTTTTTATTCTCCAAAACCTGCTTCAAACATTTTGAGCAAGTACAGAGATCTCGACGTTTAATAGCATAGATAGAGTTGGTTAAATGGACATGATCCTCGAGTTATGCCTAAATAAAATCAAAAAAAGATTTAGATCATCCAATAGTGAAAAATCCTGATTTGTAAAATGTATAACATGTTTATAAAAAAATTAAAAAATATTCAAAATTAAAAAAAAATGTTGAGTGACATTTTAGTAAATTTGGACATTTTAAGTAGTTAAATTCGGGTTTTTATTAAAGAAATTCGATTGTTTATGCATATTGCTATTATTAACACTTACTAACTTTGAACGGACAAACATGGTAGGGACATTATGTATAATTAATTACGTTTTGTTGTCAGGACCAAAAAGGATAAAAATGAAAATAAAACACTGCTTAAGGAGTTGATTATGTCCCACCAGATCAGCATAGCTTGTAAAACCAATTTTTTGAATTCGTGTTAGTTTTAGTATCATCCATGGTGCCTACATACAACATTTCATTTAATCATTTTAATAAAATTGGATTGCGCAAATACAAAAGTTGGGTTGCGTATGCGCAGTTTTTTTTTAAATTTTATCTGCATATAGTTGCTTACGGACATTTTTTGTACAAGAATTATAAAAGAAACTCTTATTTTGGAGGTTTGAGCTGTAATTTTCAGGCCCGTTCAGATAGTTTTTACTTTTTTGGCGTCCAGAAAACGCAATATTGACATATCGAAAATTTATCACAATTACAATACTTTCCTTTATACAGCTGGAAAAGATGATTTGGTTTCCCAGATGAATATTGTTTGACACTAATGAAATTCTTAAAATTATACGTAGCACCAAAACCGAAATATTTTCAATATCGACAAGAACATAGTTTTTGAAATGTTTAATTTTTAAATGAAATAATTACTATTATTTTTTTATTAGGTACATTTGTACATTTTAAAATGTAAATAGTAGGTATCCATAGGTATACAAGAAACGAATGTCTTAAAAAAAGTAGCTCTTCCTTTGAGTGTCTGATATTAAAGCAAATGTTGTCATTAACTATTAAGACAACAATTTGAGTACGCTCTATTGTTATTACCAGCTTTCTGGTGTGACAACGATGTAGTTAGGTACAAATATCATTTCTTGTTCTGCCTAAGGACTAAGGAGAACCCAAAACAGATTAACTTTTTGGAAAATGTGAAAAAGGGATTTTGAGCAGCGTATACCAAAGCACCGAAATTAAACAAAAGGTCTGATGAGCTAAAAAGTCAATAAACGGGTCCTGATGGCGATGGTGTAGGTCAACCAGGGTCAGATGACAACATTTTTGGATTGAACTTTCTGTACATATACATATTGACTCACCTCTAAATATTCTGAGCCGTATCTATCTGAAGGAAACTCCCCAATTCCTAAAAAAAAAATTAAAGTTTTGCAAAGAAACGAGCACAACTTACCGAACCGATTTCCCTCAGATCTCTGTAGAGTTTTTTTCACTTTCGGAATTCCTTGGTGAACAATAGCGCTCGAAGGTAAGAAAAAATTTGACTTTATTGGAGAGTATAATTTTCCACCCGACAAGACGCTTTTAAACTTCTTTTTATCGAACGAATTTCTATCGACAATTTTCAGAGAGTTTCGTTGACTCAGTCGGGTCGATAATCTAGACGGTGTCAGTCGGATATCTGCTTTCAAATGTGAAACAGTGCTTGTTTTCGTGCTGCTTGGTCCATGTTCCTTCGTAATTGGTGCGAGGGATTGTTTCGTTGTCACATTTGTATCCAAATCGCCAAGAGGCGGACGTCGAGTCGAAGAAGCTCTAAGATTTGTGATTGCGGTGAATCGCTTTGGGGAAGGTAATCCATTGTCTGATGAAATCCGTTTTCGGGGTACCACTTTGGCGCATCTACAAGTTGTTTTCTTTGGGGCGATTATGTTTTTCCTACCTGATGTGATTACTAGTTTGTTTTCTTCCATATTTGGCTCAATATCATGCACTTATGAAGCTTTTACAGACATTGTATGCATTTAACAGATACTTTTAATATAAAATTTGTATCACCTATGGTGGTATCAATTGATAACAACACATTTGTCAAAGTTTATATTTGCTATATTTTACATTTATGTCATTTTGATAATGATAATTTAAACCTCTAAGTAAAAAGTGTCTTTTATAATGCTATTTCCAAATGTAATGCAATTCAACAACTAATATTTGGTATCAATATTAAATTTTGTAGAAGATCTGTAAAAAAAACTTTCCTGAAAAAAATCCAGAGCTGAGTGAGTGCATTTACAAGCAAAAATGATGACGCGCCTGATAAACTGATAGGGGCTGTGATTAACTTGTGCTGGCATGTGAGAGCATAGAGAAAGAGAATAAGGGGAAATAGGTTGTTGTTTACTGACTTCAAAGCATATTACACTTATAGAAGCTATTGCCAAATCTGTACTATTGTCGCTTCATGCTGATGCATTAACCCCATGGCTGAAGCCGATCTCTATAATTTGAGTATATTCCCTCAAAATTAATTAAATCTCACGTAATTTCGCCTAGATTTTTTTGTAGCTACAAAAAGCTGTGGAATCAGTTATACCAATTTACCGGGTACGCTCAATAATAGAGGAAGTTTGTTTTTGAGCACCACCACACTTGCAAAATTCGCAGCCTAAACCTGTTTCAGGTTTTATCTAATAACGGAGCAGAAGTTTGTGCTTTCCGAGTGCATTGGGACTAACTCCAGCATCAGGCCTTCTCAAATGATGTCCAGACGCACAGCTGGCAGTGGCATTGCACTTTTTATTTTGGCAACTTCTTTAATTGCCTGCTTCACTGCTTATTTTTATATACAGAATAATGTATGAGCTTCATCGCTTACATAAAGGATGACCTTTTTTGGATAGACCATATGGGGATCTCACAAACTAGCAGGTATAGAGAGTCAATACAATGGCGGGAAGTAATAATTGATTAGACAATTTTTTGAATTTTAACCAATGAAATTATTTATTGAGTGGGTCAACTGTACGGAGAATGGACTTGTGTGGTACACTGGCTTTAAGAAGCGGAATTTAATGCGCCTTTTTACTTTTCCGCATATATGAGTAGGTAAAAGTACTGTTTTCATCCGTTCTTGTTGTCCGGCTGGTTAGCACGATAACTAGGCCGTATTTTTCTGCACATGCGCAGCAGTAACTTTCTTATTTATGGACCAATCTTACCGAAATGTTGACAGTAGCATCTTTTGGTAAAGGTAAATCGATCAAGTATATTAAATGTATAAAAACTACATGCGCGCATGCCCAGAGATACATTTGACCTTATTGAAATTTTAATAATAGCACCTTTTAAATGATCAATTATATGTGTATTAGGTTTGTGAAAAACTACGCGCGCGCGAATGCACAAGGTACATTTTTTATTTCTGGACCGATATTTTAACAGAAGCAAATCAATCGATTATATCAAACATGTCACAAGCTGCTTTCGCGCATGTGCAAAAGTAAATTTCTGATTTGTGTACTAATTTTAACGGTATGTACAGGCGATCTGCGTTCATGATCCGTGTTAAGCTGCAGCGCGCAGTCGGCGCCCAGCGAGTTACCTTCGTATACATATTTTTCAGTCTCCATTGGCTAGAACTTCTACCGTTAATGGAGCCATTGTGTATATTTGAATTTGCCGCTCTACTTGACCCACCGCGCATTCTGCTAGTGGATCAAGCTTAATAGTCTAGTCATATTAGGATACTACCTGAAAACGTCTGTACCTAGGGAGTGCCACCCATACGACACATACATACCTAGAACTAATTCCCTAAATCGGGGCGGTCGATTTTCACTTTTTTGACCATATTTCACTAAACGTTGGAAATACAAAAATAATTTTTAAACAAAAGTAAAATACATCTTTTCAGTTCTCATAACTTTTGTCTTATCTCTTAACGGTTATCGAACAAAACTTGATTTTGTTTGATTTTTGGCACTGGTTTTTTGTTTCAGGAAATGTGACGACCAGCAGAAAATAAAGACAAAAACTGTGTTATATATGCGATCGTTGCTGTCTAGTCACCTTTGGAATTTTTGTTTACATAGTAAATTGTACTTGAATTTCCAAAGGCGACTCGACAGCAACTCATTTTTTATCGCCCGTTATTAGGCTATGGAAACAAATGATAAATGTAAAAGAAAAAAGCACATCAATCAATATTGTTGTCACAGCACATAGTCCAGGAAATGAAACTTAAAATAGTATAAAACCTGGTAATTTTTTCAAAATGCATCGATTTGCATGAAAATTTGGGATTAAGTTCAACTTACCCTCCACCTCAAAATCTATATTATGCCGATTGGCGCTCTTCATTTTTTAGGAGTGAAAACTACCCCCTTTTGGCAAAACCCATAAAACTACATAAAGCTTAAGGTGAGTAAAATTTGGATTCTTGTGTCTTTTTGACCAAAATTTCCCCAGGTCTTATTAAATAAATTGAAACATTTTACATGCAGGATGTTCTGACTGCTATTTCAACTGCGTAAACCTGACAACAGGTAAATTTTCAGTACATGTACAGGGTGGCTCGCTTTTCATCTTAGGCATTATCTGAACTTAGAGAAGCAAGACCCCCTGCAGTTTACACGTTTTCCCCCTCAAATTGAACACCAAACATAATTACAAAATCACCTCTCTTTAAAACAAAACAAAATCATTGGAATTATGAATTTTTGATCAATTTACCATCTAAACTCCTTTGGTCAGTATTTGCCTTTGATATACGCACACGATCATCTAAAAACAATCTATCAAGATCCTCCTAACTACATTGGCAACCAGATACCATTATACACAAAGTAAAATTCTCAGCCAAAGCAGAACAGAGGCATAGTTTTTTGGCCTCCATATTTTTACACTTGACATAGCACTTCTTGAGATAAGCGCGTCACTATTGTCCATTTAAACTTATCATAAAACATTAAACAAAAATTTGCTCTAGCTAGACAGATACCGCTCCCACCCCGCGCATGGGCGTTCTGCCCAAAAGCTTTGGAAATCAGAAATCAACTCAAATTTTACTGATAAGAAAAAACTCGGCTATTGCCTAATGTGATTTTCTAGGATGTTTAATATTCTAGCTTCTGTAAAATGTTGTTCTATAAACAACTGTCAGTCCATACATTCAGCTTCGTTTTATTTTAAAGTAGATACTATTTTGGTTGAAGATTGATTATCAAAATGGGTATTGTACAAAATAATACCTTCATCCACTTCTCAATCTGTTCTCCATTAATTATGGATAAAAATTAAGAGAAGAAATGGATAAAAAAAGAGGTTATAAGAGGGGGGGAAACAAACGTATCACTATTGGCAGTGGCAATATATAATATATCATAAGCAAGTCAACATAACTGACCAATGCAAAGGAGGTAATAGAATTGTAAAATGTGAATTGCCAACCTTTGAAGATATTGGGAATAATGGTTAATTATGAAATTTCAGAACATTATGTCAAAATAAAGTTAATCAACATTTTTAATCACACCTACCCTTCCACATTCGTTCTAGTCATGTAAGACTTAAAGATAAAATAACATCAATAATACAAAAAAGAGAACAAAACATACAAATTTCAAAATTAAAAAATACATATTTAAAACAACTTATACGAGACGATTTGCAACAAAACCTAAGATATTAATGGAATATATTAGTCTTTAATCACCATATTTATTAGGCGTAATAACTTGGAGGCACAGTCAAATCACTTAAAACAGAAAGCTCATCTTCTGTAAATTTTAATTTATGTATATCCCAATTATCATGGTGTGTTCGTTTGAAATTGCCTAACGTTTGATGGATGGTAGCCTAAAATTATAATTTTCATTTACCTGAACTCACAATAAGTGACTTACCGGAATAGGTTGTGGGTCATTTAAGTGCTTGCCCAACTCCAAAAATATGTCCGATAAGTAATCTGGAACGTCGTAGGGATGACAGCTGACAAACGAGCACATCCCTAACACAGCCGCATGTATGATGCGTATATTCTGATTGATCGATTGGTTCCCATTGCTAACGCTTAAATTACGACGTTTCAATTTGGTTCTTGACTTTAACTTAAATTCCGACTGCAAACAGATACATTTAAAAGCATTCAGTGCACTCACATTTATTTACCAATAATGCTTCCGGATTTGGTAAAAAGTGGCAATGCAGGAAGCCGCTGAGAGACGTAGCTGCAGTTACCCTAACCTCGGGCTGTTCGTCCTCTAACAGTTGCAACACGATTTTTTGAATCTAATGTCATACAGAAATAGTTGGTTGTAAATGGAGAGATGGCGGATTTACCTGTGCGACCCAACTCTCATTAGCAATGATTGTCGAGAAATTGTGGAATACCAGGACAGAAATAAATTCCGCAATGGCTGCTCTTGCAGACCAAAATGAGCACGACGAGACTTGCTCCATTGCGGACAAAGCTGCGGGAATATAAGCGCTGGGAGTGAGGGAGTGCCCGATTACCACCAAGAAATTCAAACAAATTGAACTTAATTCTTCGTCATAGTCGTTATTTTGTAACACGCACACTAATGGTAGTAATTCGTAGTGGCTTGGTACGGCTGCATAAATTCGGCGAGTTACGCCACTGGTTACATACTTGCACACTAAAAATAATTAATAATTTATCAATACATTCAGTTAATAGTAGCCAATTATCACACACAAATATATTGATTTTAATTAGTTACTGGATATCTTGTCAATAGTACTAAAAACTGAAACACTATACACCCCGAACTATAATAAAATGTTAACTAACGATTATTGGTGTAATTAAATGAATATTATTTACTTTATGGTGTGGGAATGCTAGATTTATCCTAGCAATCATTGTATTTAAACTAAACCTTACGAGTGATCTTAGGAAAGGAACAAAATTGTCGTCCAGTTTTCTTAAATCACTTTTCAAACAAAAGTTACTCATTTAAAAATTGATCCTTCAGGTCAGAAAGTGTCCCCCGCCTAAAATGTCACAAATAACAAATTACTGATTTAAGTCAATATTGTGATACTTCCCCCACCCCTCATATTTTATTGGCTAGAGCAATATGATGCAAAATTGATACAAGATTGCGATGCATGTATTTTTTATGCATATTTATTGGGTATATTTTAGGGAAAATGATATTTTTCTACTTAACCATGAATCGTACGCCCTCTAGCGGCAAACCTAGAAACTTGTAAATAATTTGCAAGGATTTCTCTTGGGCCCTTTTGTTAACAAATTTTTTTTCCGAAGTTGTGCAATTAACGGTTCCATAGATATGGCCTGGGACCTCTATTAATGGGACACCCTGTACAAACAAATTTCGTGGAATTCTCTCCATTTTCGTTGTCCAGCCAAGAATTGCAATAGAATTTTTTTTTGAATCTTCGTAAACTAATTTCAGATTCATGATTTTCATGTCAAAAACCCCTAGTTTAATTTTGAAAAAAACTGTCCAAAATCGAAAAGGGCATACCCGAAAACCTATTCAAAGACGTGCCACCAGTCTTGGCAACTCCTATGGTTCCTCAGAAAAAATTAAAGAAGAAATGCAAATCACTTTTTTGAGGGTTTATTGGACAAAAGTGCTCGTTTTGATGCCCCCTGCCATCCATTTTTTTTTTTACATACTTATATGTAACACCCTGTATAGGAGCCTTGAAGATACATAAAACTGTTACTAGTACAAGAAATTTGTCTTGCGCATGTGCAACCTAACTATTTTTCTTTGTCAAGATAATTAAATGAACTGTGAAGTGTCACAGTGTTACAGGCCATAAGTTGAAATTGGTGGTCCTGCACTTCAATTGTTCTTTTTCACCCCCACCCCCTCCGTTTCCTCTCTGTTACTATCCTGACCTTCCCAAATCCATGCCTGATTGCAGCGAATCATGGTGGATTGGCTTCGGTTAAGGTAGTTTGCAATTTTTCTGAACGAAAAACAACTTTCGTCCAAACCAAAAATATGACAGCTGTCGCCTTCTCTTAATTCGCGGTAGTTTCCACGTTGGCGTATTCTAGGCACGATCACAGCCTCAAAAGAAACAATTAAGAGCAAGAACTGAACAAAACTCGCAAAACATACACGATATAAAATTACTAGAAAAATGTGAAAGAACTGTCAAATAAGCCATTACCACTTGATCCATATGAATGAAATTTTAATCAATTGTTACCTTTTAGTAGTTAAACGTTTCTACCAAGTTTAATAAAAAATCCTACTCCTTCTTGGTGTTGCAATTTCCATGTCACTGAGTATACAGGGTGGCAATTTGAAAACTTACCACCCCCCAGTAGTTAGTAAATAAACGAGATATTTAAAAAAATCAAAATCCGTTTCGGTAATTCGGATGTGTGATACGTCGTTGAAAAGCTCTGAAAAAATACTTTCCAAGTTCCAACCACACCAAATAGCATTACATTTAGGTTAGTAATTATCGTGCAAATCAAAAAATAAACCAATATGATACATTTGGCTTTTATTTCAATAAATGTTCAAAATGGTTTCCATTATTGGTAAGATCGAGGGTAAGGCAGTAGTATAATCTATTCTCAAACTCTTGTCGAACATTTTGAAATGTTGGTTTTGCAATATATCGAGGTCAAGGAGGAGGGTTATGATTGGTAGAAATTAATTCCTTTCGTTGAGACCTTTCATTAGAGTACCATGAAGGATAAAACTAGTTGCCCCCCCCCCCCCCCCTCCAGCCCGTACTTTGATAAGAGGCCAGAAAGAAGGGCAGTAATTGGTAGAAAACGGTTCGTTGAGACCTTTAATTAGAATACAATGAGATAAAATAAATTTTTAACCCCCCCCCAGGCCCGTCGCTCACTGATCTCGAAAAAGAGTCGCACGGGAAAGTTATAGTTGTACAAACCATATATTTCGATGAGACCTTTCATTAGAATACCATGAAGGGTAGAACATGTGTTTAATCCCCCCCCCCCTCCCCCTTTTTCTAAAGTTAAACTTGGCACCACTAAAGGCATGCGTATGCAAAATCTGAGACCAATTGGTTGTCGTATGTAAGTTTTACACTTTCAAAAACAGCATCTCAGGAAATAATTCGTGGGGGGCCCCCCTTTTAGACAGCGAAATTTGATGGCCGTCTGACACATCTTCAAGATATAGGCTACCTACTGCAAAAAATTCCAGGACTCTAGGACCATTCCCGTAGAAGTAGTTCGAAATGGCAGAAGTGGGTCCGGACGGACGAACAAAACGCAAACAATAGCATATTTTTTTAATTCTTAAAAAATGCGCTGCACTCACTTCTCTTGAACGGTTTCTGAGATATGAATTTTTGAATGGACCCTTACATCTCCAAATTTTTAGACAAAAATTGACCTGTCAAAAACCATGACTGATAGGTACACAAATCTTAAATACATTGAATTCACAATAAAATGGCGCATTTAGAAAAAAATAGAAAATGGTATGTTTGTAAAAAAAACAAGATGGCGCTAACTTCCGGTATTTACAGTAGCGGCGAAATGTATCTGTAATGATCGACTGTTGCTGTGTATCAAATTTCTATTTCTACTACAAGTTCAAAAACTTCTAACGAATGGGCTACCTTTAAATGAAATTTGATATATGTAAATAAGTAAAGGAATGTTCATTAGGTCATGGAAAGATAATTTAAATTAGAGTATAAGTACACAAACCAATGAATAATCAAATAGTTCCACAATTCGACAAAATGTGGCAGCACTTGTTAATCATTTAGGTGGAAGAACTATAAACTTAGACCATAAAGTACATGGACTGCTATTAAACAGCCCTATGCTTTCAATACAAAATGGGTGGTCTTATCGTATCTTCTATATGCCCAGAAATGAGAATTTGGTTTTTTGGCATTTCTAGGAGACTATTTATAGTTGACGCCAAATTAAGTTGGTCATTCTTAAAATTGTACGGATTAAGATTCAAGCAACGTCAGTCGTATCTAAATCGACGTTTAGTTAATATGCGGACGGGTAGATGTCTCTGTAACTTGCTAACTTCAAGTTCAACTTTTAATCTGTCAAACTTCGAGGTTGCGTAAATTGATATGCGAATTCAAAACTAAAAGCACTTAAAGGGAACTGTTACTATTTATAGTAGTGAATTATTAAAATAGAAGAAATGGTTGTTATAATTATCTCCACTTATTTGAACCTATACTTAATGTAGGTAAACACACCGATCCTCTGCATTCATTTATAACATGCATTTCAGGCAGAAAACTGGCAAATCAAATGCGTTATTCTAAAATGTTGAACATTAGCTACGAGCAAGGTTTCACAATATCGTATACAGTCCTCTTCTTTCGGCAAAGGTGATTTGGTAACGAGACATCTGTATCTGTACATATCGTGCTTCAGCTTATGAGATTATGTCAAGAAGTCAAAAACAATTTCGTTATACTTATAACAGATGTTCAGTTCTAGTTTAGATGCTACAAGATAATTATAAAGTTACGTCAATGGTTTTCACAATTTCATATGCAAGTTGTTACAATTTACCGATTAAACTCTCCACAAGTGCAAAGTAGTTTTTTAAAAAAACTGTTTCTTGATGTATTGAAGTAAAAACGTAAAAATAAATGTTAACCAGGTAAACACGAAATGACAGAAGAAAAGCTGAGGAATGCGCGACATACGGACCGCCCGTATGAATTGTACAGCAGACTCAAGTTACGAATTTCTATCCTTCTCTAGCAACCGTCAATCTGTGTGAGAGGCACCGTTCCATACGCTAATTATTGCAATACATAGCGATGAGTCATACCCAACTTAATTTGGCGTCAATTATAATTGACGTTTGTTAATTTCAAGGTTGACAGTCTCAAATCGTGTCTCATCGGATAACTTCGAACAGATAGATTCGTTTACCCTAAAGCTCACATACCCCAGGCGATGTCCTTGGCTATATTTTATTAGCTTCCATAGTCACTAGATAAAAAATTATATTGTAACTCACCTATTTTAAATAATCTGATCAATTCATCCTTTTCATCATTATTACTTAAATTCAGTAGTTGTATTTGAGATGTAGCAGCTTCCATTTGTTCCCGACTCTCTTTCTTGCTCATCGTATCAATGGTCATTTTATACAACCGATTGAGCTTTGGCATTACATACGCAAAAAATTCCTCAACTTTAGGCCAAGAGACACTGCGACCATTTGTCGAATCAGTATTCTCACAAAATACTAACGTAAGACACATACTAATGCTATCTCTAACATTTTGGAATGGATGAGACAAATGCCCTTTGACGTGCTCCAACACCCTCTTCATAAGTTCCGTGTTCCTCCACGCCTGCTGATTTAGGGCTTGTTGTAGAATATAAAGACGACAACAGCTACCAAATGATGTTTGCTCATTTAGCGGATTATCCATTAAAAATTCTAAGATCCAATGGTAGCGGTTCGGATCTCTGGAACTTAGCGCCATCGCGAAACAGACGCTCCAATCGCCTAACGTTTCGACGGACAAGTTGGCGAAATTGTTGCGCAAAATCGGCAGGAGGGTCGCCCACATCCGTTCGACCTGATCGAAACTCCAATGCTTCGCGCCGCGAATTAAACCGGCGGTTATTTCTGCGGCGCATCTCTGGCTCTGTTCTTGGCTATCTTTCGAGAGCCGTTCGAGATGAGGTACAAATAAGTCTAATAAGTGATCCTCGAATATTTTGAATAAATTCTGGAAAAAAGAAGCACAATAATTATTGCAGTTTCATTTTTAGAATTAACATATAGAGCGTTTTTGGGTTAAATGAATTTGCACACATTTCCTTGGCAAAAAAAAATTTAAGTTAAGACTGCAGCCAATAGATGGCGACAGAGTAGAATACCACCTACATTTTAAGCACACAAATAAGTCTTACAAATGAGTAGAAAGCCGATATTTACGATTTTTATTTACGTTTTTTGTTATTATGAATAATTTGCTCGGGTTAGTTTGATTACATTTCAAACCAATCAGATTTATATAGTACCAATTTGTATACTGACCGCTCATTGTAGAGTCAAAATTTGGGTTTTGGAATGGTTGGTGGAATTATTGCTTTTCGTTAGTGTTAATTATAATAATTTCAGTGTTTGAATGACAAACGTTAGATTTTTTCCCTCACACTTTTTGACGTATTATCACTCGCTCTCTTTTGTTTTGTGTTTTATCTGATTGCAGATTATTGGCAGACAGTGCACTTCCGAGTTCAGAAGGCCGTGTCTAATATTTAAAGGTAATACTTTATTTCGTGAAATTAATATATTTTTTGTAGATTTAATTTTAAGTCTACAAAGTGATATTATTTTCAAAAATTGATAAAAATACCAAAGTTTAAATTGATGTCTCTTCTAAACTAGAGATGCTAGAGGACAAAATAAAATATCAAATTAAAGGTGCTATTGTACTACAATTTTGAATAAAACATAATTTTACCTAAGCATTGTCGTTGGCGAGTTACGAATAGAGAAACCTAAAAAGTAGAAAATTTTCGTTGATTTTTGACCACAGAAATTTCTTTGGTAAACTTGATTTTCTCTCTCTCTCTTTACTATTTAAATATGTCGAAAAATAAAATCTTTTACCTGAACTTTCGTAACCATTTAGCATTTTTAATTTGACTATACTGTTAAGACAGATTATGTGTTCCCCAAAGCAAAAAAATGTTTTATGAATAACCTGCTTCATTAAAATAGTAAATACGAAAGAAATCTTACCTTAAACACCACAAATCGGAATCCATTAAACATATCTTTTCCTTTCTTTTCCTCCATAGATAAAAATTTAATCAAACTATTAAGGTTCTGTTCATTGAAAAACGCGAGTATTTCCTTCTCCTCGTCAGATAAAGAATTCAGTCTTTTGGCGAAGGTGGGCTGCTCATTAGAGGACGCAAAGGTTTTTAAGGTTTTAGGCCAAGCATAGTATCCCAAGTCACCCCTGTGCAAGTACCTCGGTTTATCCCACTCTTCTGAAGTTTTGGGGAGCGTTTTGCTATTATACAGCAGCCATTCGTTATCCGATCTAATTCCCGGACTTGACTTATGACCACTCCCTTCCTTATTGAAACTGTATGGGTCAATGGTGATTTTTTTATACTTTGGTTTGTTTTGCACCAGTATATAAAGGAACACTTTCCAAGCAATTTTTCTGACTTTGAGCGAATCATTAATTAAAGCTTTCATGAAGAATTTGATCACATGTGGCTTATAGTTCGTGTCCGGGTGCACCAAACTTTCTATAAACACTAAGCTCATGTAATAGTAGCGCCAATGCCTATAGCAGAAGTAAACAAAACGATTCTTCAATACTTTTATACTTACAGGTTATCATGAATACAAGCGTTTAATAAACTATCAATGGTTTGATTGTAAAGAATTAGTTTACGTTCACAGTCGGCTTCCAATAATTGAGACCCCTTCTCTATGACACCCTGAAACCCATCTAAAGATACTTTCGGAACATTCTCCGCGAGAGAATAAGCAGCAGTTAAACACCTGTCAGGCATTTCAAATTTAAGTCCAATTGTCGGAAACTCGTTTACAGCTTCTGTAAGCTCCTCCATCAAGCTGACAATAGAAGGTTTCTCGGATACTTTCGATTTGATGACAAGCGGCCACACTTCGTTGATTAAATTCCAGTCATGTCTAGTGGCAACTGCGGCCTTCTTCGTTCCCAACAGCACAAACAAGCAGCCCTTAAACTTTTCGTGGTGAACTGCCGGATCTAATTGAAGAATATCTTTGATATGCGGTACTACCACTCTGTACGAATACAGAAAAGTAGAAAGTGTCGCAAACAACTTCTTCTGTGCCGCAATTCGAACCTGCAATAGGTGCAATGAGAGACTTGTCCGGTTCATTTAAACACCCACCTCACTATAGTGGCTGACGCTCAGCTCAAACAGATCCTCAATTATCTGTTTGTGGGTTTTCGTAAACGTGCAGGTGCGGCTTTCGTTTCGAAATTCATGTTGCAGCATGATGCGGTCGATTAAGCTGCATCGCAAATGGCTTTTATTCTGATGTAGTTTGTCTTCTAACACTCTCTTGACCATGTGGAAGGTCTTCCAATGAGATTTGAAATCACGACCACGGAACTTATTGAATACTAATATGTCATATATCTGTAAGACAAGATCTATTATAACTTATAACCAACACTATCCCCTCAGTGTTGGGCCTCGTCATGGTTGTGGGGCTTGAGTGGTTCACTGAACAAGGGCGCAAACGGGTAGGAGAGAAAAAGCGGCAGAGGCCGGGCGATTGAACACAGACTCAACCGCCGACGAAGAAGGACAGAACCACAACCCCCACCAAAGGCGGGTGTCAGTAAGGCTGGAACACCATGCAGTAACTACAAGCAAACTGCCACTCAAGATAGCGATCATAGATACCAATAACCCTCTGGGTAGGCTAACAGCTAACCAGGCAAATATGGTACAATCTCACCTGGCCAAGGTTTTTGACCAGCATCTGTCCGCACTAAAAAGCGCTACATTAGCACCCACGTTGAGGGGTTGGAGGTACTCAGGCAAGATCCTAAGAATATCGTGCGAGAACAACCATTCCCTTGAGTGGTTGGCAACCTCCCACCATTGTGGGAAGGCTGCACACACCTAAAGGTAGTGCAGGAAGACAGCCTTCCTAGGATTTGCAAGCCTGCCATCTAGGTCCTGAGAGAACCTGACGACCTGGTGACGGTCAAGCGTCGCTTCAATTTCTGGGGAAAGGTAGGCTGATAGTTTACAACATTCAGGAAAAGGACCAGACTAACCTAATCGGCAGGGTGGGCAGTATCTCTAAAGATGAGGGTTAGTAACCCTGCCGAACCTGAGATGGAGAGGTCAGTACAACGACCACAAAAACACCAGCAGCTGATTCAGGGGCAACTGCAAGAAGCTACGGAAGCTCACCGCCCAGGCTGACAAGGCAACCTGTAGTCAGTGCTTGCTCCAGCGTCAGCAATTCGCTTTGGCCGATTTCGAACTGGGAGAAGTTTGCAAATATTGAGGTGTTACTGGAGTATGATTCTAGCAACGATGGGTAAACGATAGACAGCAATTGTCTCCATACATTTTCTTGTTTGAATAAAAATGCTAACTCTCTCTCTCCCTTTCTTGTGTATAATTACAATTGGTGACAGAAAGGAGAAACTTCTTATCAAGTAATAATAAAATGAAGATTATCTATTTCTAAAAAATAAATAAGCCATTACTTACATAAACAATATTATATATGCTTTTTGTATCGCCTTCATCGAGTTCTAAAATTTTCTTCTGAACATTATGGATTGTGTCGGCAATAACTTTTCGTACATTCCCACCATCTGGCATAGTCACCGAGTGCGGGGCTCCAATTGTCAATTCAAAAGCCCACGCCTCCAAGACCGAGTCAATGCTAAACACATAACAATAAAAATTTTACCAAAGATCACCAAAATACCTTACAGTTGTATCGCCGGTTCATCCCATGTAGGCAAAACACTTTGACAGGCCAAAATTGCGCTGACAATTCTTAAACGGCTGCGTAACTCCTTCCTTTCCAAAGCAATTTCACCCCTAGCATACTTATTTAAAACCTCCAATTCTGGTATTAAGTATTTGTTTAGCAAGTGTTGAATGCAGTCAATCTCGGCTTTCCCAGGAACATACCACGAGATATTCAAATTATTCAAATCACCCGGCTGGCCCCATTGTCTAAGAGGAAACATCAAACATAAACTCACTCATCTAATTGCTAAATCGTACCGAACGGTTAAGAAATCCTTAACATGCTGATCGAAGGGCTTGTTGCAACTGCGATATTCGATCGGTTGCGTGAAACTAAGCGAGGTCATCACTATGTTTAAAACATGCGCAGAAAGCCTACTCCCTTGAGTGCAAGCTACGTGTAAAGTGTGATCCAAAATTTTTGTTATTCTATCCATGTAATGTACCAATTCTGAATGACCATCCAATATCTAAAAAAAGAATTCACAGTTTAAATGCAGTCGTACAATAAATGGAAGCGAGATCATTTTTTGACAGTTTAGGACAGAACTGAAAGTTGGATGGTCGTCTTTGTATTTGCACTCGTTTCACACACTGTACGCCATAAGTATCGCGAATCCTTTTAGAAATGTAACTGTAAATGCGTAAATTTGATCACTATGTAATTTGTTCAATTTAGATAGTGTTAGAAGTTAAGACACATCTGGTCGTTTGCGATAAGGAGTTTTATTATCAGGCGAAATTTAATTAACGCACGCGTTTTTTTGCTGATACGGGAATGCAGGTGTTACAAAGAATTGCGATTTCATGTGGAGAATCGGGGACGTTTGGCGCGTTCCGTCATGACTGGAGTTTACCTAATCTGATTGTGATTAGTGATTTATATGAAAATTCATGAAATTGAAGTGGTATATCATTAAGTACTGGAGACAACGAGAAGACGGAATTTTCTTCCTCGACGGTTTGGGGGCGTGCACATTTCTTTAAGCTAAATTTTTCGGGGAATCAGCGCGTTTATGTGAGAACGTAATTCGTTGGTATCAAAATAAAGTATACAGAAGCAGTGAAGCAATCTTAATAAAAGATTTAAATTATTTCATTGTCAAGTGAAGTAGTAAAAGTTTGTGGAACAGTTTCTCCATATTAAGAAAAAGTTAGTAGGTACGAATGGGAGTCAACCAAGCACTTATTGCATAGTGAAGCGTTTCGACGAGGTATCGCAAAATTGTTACGACCAGATTACTTATTGGATTATAAAAAACTGTAAGTAAATAAGATTTTAAGATTTCTTATTTAATTCTCCATCGAACGCTTGCATGCGCGGTATGTGTAAAAACAGGCTCTGAATGCCTCTTTTTCTTCAAGCTAGCTGGATAGGTGTTTTGTAGGTGGCTTAGTGACCGTTTGCGATTGCACGCACAACACATACCGGGTGGTGACTTGAACAACGCACCATAGGAATTTCAATAGTCACTTTTTCATTTCTGATTATTGACTTCTCTAATTATTTTAGAGATAAAGACTATTTAGGTTTTTTGTAGAGAAAAAAAATTACTATGCTTTTAATTTTTTGAACTTTGAAACCAAGAAATTGGATAACTAAAACCTGGCGCTTTTAAGAAAATCGGAGGTGCCATGGCAGTTTGAGATCAAACAAAGCTAACTAATGGCAAATAGCCCACAACAAAAAACTTAGAAGGGAAACGTAAACGGGAACAACTGAGTACAAATATAATTAGTTTGGAGAACATTCAATAGATGGCGCATAGTTAAAGTTACTAAATCTAGTGACTTTAGTGCGTGTGCGCCATTACCTATGACAGTTGAATTTTGAATTTTGATTGACGGCTTATTGTGCTTTAAGTATAATTACTATTCATTATTACAATGAATTATGCATATACAATTCGAGAACGTAAATGTTGTGTGACAAATTGTGAAGACGTTTCCCAAAAATGGAGCCCGAAGTTTTTAAGAATTGGTTTAGAATATAATGTGGAAGAAATTTACACAAAAGTTTTTGGTTTGTGAACGTAATTTTTCTGGCTGCGCTTTAGAACCTGGAACACGAAGAGATTTAAAGCGTGTGGCAGTTCGCACATTATATTTAGCAGGTACCTAACACTAATTGAATTGTAATAAATTGTTACATATTTTGTTTTTAGAACAATCTCGAGAGCATCATACCGTAGAGTTCCATGAAGTTGATCTTGTATCTTGTATAATCATATTAAATTAAATATAACTCCTTGATTGGATTAATTGGATTGGAGTTGTTACTTATAAAACAAGTGCCCTGTACTCTTTGAAGGCCCTGACTGGTGAGGTGCATCCGCATTAAACTGAATTTATTTGGATCCCTAACAAACAAAATTGGACTTCACTGGCTGGATTCATTTACCTTTTAGGTTTCAGCTAGTCAAATCCAATGTTGTTGTTACAGATCCGGAGAAATTAGTATAATGCGGACGTAGCTTACATTTTAATATTTAAATTTGGCGCCATTCACGCAAAAGCTGCTGAGAACATACACGAGATGGCGCATCATTTTTACATTACATTACAGTTTCCATTCTAAGTTTGTTGTTCTATGCTTAGACCATATAGTACATGGACTGCTAATTGTAACTAAAATATAGTCAAGGACATCGCCTGGGCATGTGAGTTTCAGGGTAAACGAGTCTGTCCGAAGTTGTCCGATTAGGCACGATTTGAGATTGTCAACCTATAAATTTACAAACGTCAATTAATTAATCGCATTGATATCCCTAAAAAAGCAAACTTATTCTTATTTGTGGACGTATAGCAAATAATGAAGAGTATTTAAAGCTTCCTGTACTACGCGGTTACTATAAAGCTGCTCTTTAAGCGACCCTAGTGGTGTTTACGCGACTTTAGTTTACCCTGAGATTCACATACCCACGACTACAGTGCCCTCTATCCGTGACCATCCATTTTGTATTGAAAGCATAGGGCGAATAGCAGTCCATGTACTAAATGGTCTAAGGTTCTATGGCAAATAGTACAGTCAAATTAGACCAAAAAATGGGCATTCCATGCATCAGATATGTCATCTCTAATTTTTCTTTTAAATTGTTAGGATCAATATGGATGTGAAAAATTCAAGTTTTCGACATTGAAAGACCTGTGCGAGCGACACAGCACTTGAAAATATGTCATTTATCTTACCATTTTTTGGTTTTTGTAAGTTTTACTCCTGAAGAACCGATTTTAATGCAATTATTGTCGTATACTTTTTTGAACTAGACAAAATTTCTGACAATTTAAGCGATAAACGATCTCTGCAGGTCTAATAGTTTCCGAGATACGGTGCTTCAACTATTGGTAAATTTATTAGTTTTAGAAGTTTTATCAAAATTTGCGTTTTTTCTTCGCAGAAAGTAAACTTACAAAATATGCACGATGAATTGTCGTAAGTCGTGAGTCGCAATAAACTTGAAGAAGTGCTAAAAATTGCAGATAATGAAATCAAATTAAATATTTTTGTCTTTTAGTGGGAAAATATCCATGTTTATATGATGCCTTAATTCAAACCTAGTGTTGTGAGTAAGCTTTCTGCTACTGTCACAGATCTTCTATATACGGTGTCCCTTTTGAATGGTCGAGCAAGGTCAGGCAAAAGGAAAAAATTCACAGATTTCGCAATCCATGCAACAGGTAGTGGATCTTGCTGAAGAAGAAGATGACCACTTTCTTATCATGGGAGATGGTAGGATCCTGAGGATATCAACATTCTAGCTCTTTCTGTGCGGATTTGTGGAGACTGCTCACCAGAAAGTCCCCCCAAACGAACAAAATTATAAAAATGTTCATGAGGTTTTTATGCGAAAAAAAAGGCAAATTTGATTAAAACTGAAGAATTTACGAATCTTTGAAACGCTGTATCTCCAAAACTATTGGACTTACAGAGTCAGTTAAGGGCTTGAATTGTCACAAATTTTGTCTAGTTTAAAAAAGTATACGACAGTAATTGCTTGCTTTAAAATCTGTCCTTAAGATCTAAAACTAACCAAAACCTAAAAATAATAGAAAAAATGGCGTATTTTCGAGTGCTGCGTTGCTCGCACAGGTCTTTGGATGTCGAAAACTTGGATTTTTGACCTCCGTACTCAGCCTAACAATTTATTATAGAAATGACACAAGTGATGCAGGGTATTATGATAATTTGACTGGACTAAAATGCAGGCGCTTTTGTTTGATTTGATAATTCCATGGCATTACCGACTTTATAAACGTGACGGTTTTTAATTTTTTGCTGTTTCTGAATTTATAAAATAGGAAACAATAGCACGTACGGATTCGTAATTTTTTTCTCTCGCCTAAATAGACTTTATTTCTAAAATAATCAGGGAAGCCAAATAAAAAAATTACTACTGAAATTCCTATGGTGCGTTCGTCAAGTCACTACCCCTGTATGTTCTTACCTAAGCGCAATCATACAGTTTCAAAAAATCAGTACATTACACAGGTTGCTACCACAAGACATAAAAGAAATTAAAATTAAAAAACAGTACAAAAATGCTCCAACAAACTACTTAGATTGCTACTACTACTACACGCTCCAAGAACGTAAGTCATAGCTGTTATCTGTTATTACGTTATCTCTTATATTACGCTTATTGGTATAAATGCAACCACATTTGTATTGTTAACAATAGTTACTGACATACCTTTACATTGAATGAATGGCAACAAAAGGTTCAATAAATTATTATTATTATTATCAAACATCTGAATTCTGATTCACTCGTGATCTGTTTTAGAATCCAGTAATAACATTCATTTGGGGTGGGAAGGGGGGGGGGGCAGCAAAACATTTTTAAAACACAATAAACGTTGAAATTAAGTGTTTATGTAGGTTCTGGAATGTTAAATCACAGTTACGAATTCAACAAATTCAATGCATGTTTTTCCTTGTAAGTAAGTAACTATATACCGTTTGTATAATATGTACTTTATACAGGTTGTAACATCCCCTCGGATCGTAATGCCTTTACCATAAAAGATATGGGGAAAAATGGAGGAGCAAAAATGTTTCCAAAATATTTCTGGTCACCAGTGGCATGCTGTATTTCACTAGCGTATCAAACATCCGTTTTTAAAAAAATGGAACACCCCATATTTTATTGAGAAATTTAAACGTACTGTACAGTACTTTTTTATTTTTTATGTAACGTAACATACCCTTAACTTTACCCATTTCGCTATTATAACCTTTTCTTCTCAAAATTTGACCGTTTTTCGAATTTATATTTTCCAGAGAAACTAAATCACTCCAGCGCTTAAATTTTGATATCAAGCACATACCTGGTGAATATTTCAAAACCGAACATAGTTAACATGTTAAAAAATTAAATTGTTTTTTTGCAGATTGTTGTTCCACATGTAGGTTAACTTCCGACTTCCGAGGGTTTATAATGACCCCATGCAATCGAAAGAAGATTTTTTCTCATCTAAAGATAGGCGAATTTTTTCATTTGCAGGTGTATTTCTCATAATTTCATAAAAAACTCAACAAAATTATCAATTAGCAAAATCATGTGTCATGACTCAATTGGAAATTTTCTAAAGAATAACATTTGAATCTGATTTTTGTCTTACTAATAGTCATGGCTTACATGATTTTGGTAATTGCATTTATCTCAAAATTTTTGATGAAATAATTGGAAATGCAACCGAAAATTAACTAATTCGTATGTGATTAGATGAGAAAGCAATCTTTCTTTCGATCGGTGTCATGTGTCATTATAAGCCACACTCATGCGTTTTATTCTATGGAAGAATATCTCGACCATGCATTTCAACTGATTTCTATATCTTTGTTATTTTATAAGTTTTACTCGTCTTTGTTTTTTTCAGAAACTGTAACTGTGATATACCTACCTTGTTTTAATTTACTATATATTCAAATACGTGTTTATATTATTTTTTTATTGTTTGTGTAGAATGACTTGTCCAATATCCTTAATCTGTGATTTACTGAATGAAATAAAAAATAAATAAATAAATAAATAAGCCCTTTAAGTTAACATGGGGAGCACAATCTACAAAAAACATTTTTCCCATGTTAATTGCCTTTATTTGGGTCGGATTTTTAAAATAACGGCATCGAATTTTTTTAAATAACTTATTTTTAGTAAATTCTTCCAAAGACCTTCTGTCAGGTTTTATGACAAAAAAACTGAGAAAAAAGTGTCAAAGACAAAAAACTAAAATTTTTTTTTCGCCAAAACGATTATTTTTATTTCGTTAAAATTTTGGTAGTCCACATTAGGGATAAAAGATGTAAGACTGTCAAAAATTTTTTTAGCTACCTAGCACGAGCTATTGCGATAGCCGTTTTTTGGACATGCCAAAATTGTGTAATTGTAAACAGCAACAGGTAGATTGTTAGGCGGAAAGTGAGGGTACCTTCCATTCTTTATAAGAAATACGGCAGATTTTTCTGTAGCTGTTCAGTGTGGAGTAAGTGTATTATTAATTTAAATTAGAGCAGAAAAAGAACAGTGAAAGAATGCGGTACGCCTACAGAAGGCCGCGCTTGACTAACAAAATATAAAGAGCCATTGTTCTAATATTTTCTGCAAAATGCAGTGAATAATCTATTGTGGTAAAAACATTCTCCGCAGACAGAGTCGACATATCCCGCTGACAAAATTGAGCGTTTAAAATTTATACAGACGGTGTCTATCTGGTGTAGTATTATCTTTGCGTATATTCTCTTCTATGATACAATGTAAACATACTTAGTAAGGGCGTCATAACCGATCATGTGTGCGCAAAATAAGGAAGATCCTACTATAGTTTCACACTGCATCTCTTCTTTCTGGCCAAGTTGTGTAACTATATCACTATACAAAGATTTAACTGGCAAATACTATTTTCGGGGTGTGATTGCATGGGGGGACTGTACTGGTTGATATACATGAGACATCATTATACATTGGGATTACCATTATCCATATGCTAACACTTGTTTGATTAACACTGGTTCCTGCAGTTTATTAATCAAGCTACGAAAAAGTTCTCCAGTGACAATGTTTAGAAAAACAATTTTGAATTTTCTCTATTACCAATTTCCAACTTATTATTATTACAATATCTCAACACTTAAAGCAGCTAAGGAAAAGTGCTCTCCACACTTGACCCCACACAATGTAAAAAAATTACTGTGGATTCTAGTTTGGGTTAAATCATACTTTTCTGCATTTTTGATTGGCGGTTTCTATATGAAAACTTATCAGTAGTCTAGAGATGAAATATCGCAGTTGTGGGCAGACTTAAAAAAGTTGATTACCTCTGACAATAGCAACAAGTTGTATAACAGTTCATCATTTAGCTGCTCTTCCTTGCTAATATCTTCGTCGTCCCCTAGCAACCTTTCTATTGTATCGCATAGATCTGGAACAAACAATTTCAGCGTTTCCTTAGGGTTGGTTTTGGCAAAACAAGCGCATAAAATTGCGACTAACTTTCCGGAAACTTTCAATTCTAAGATACGATTAGTAGCAAAGCTGTGAACCTTTCTAAGTGCCGCCTGAAAACAAAACAATTTTAAAACAGCGCATGCGTCTTTTCCCTTACCGTGAAAATCTCGGGCGAGCATTGATAAAGCAGAGCGTTTATGACAGAGAATAGCGCAGTTTCCGATACAGACTCCAGTATACTCTTATTATCGTTATCGCTGTGTTCTAACCGAACAAAATCGAGAGAATTGGATTCCACCCAGGCACATATTCTATCGAAAAATTGCAGTACGAAATCTTCTAGCCCGGCCGAGGCCTCACAAATAATATGTTCCTCCTCCGTAAGGTCATCATAATAATTATTAGCTTCCGAGGAGTTTACGAGTGGAGCTAAATTTGAAAAATGCGATATCAAGTTGAAAGTCATCAGGCATTTTCTGATATCGTTTGGATCGATTCCTGGTAAAAATGAGGTGAGAAGTGGAAAGATGTGAGTGGGGCCCTCAGGATAATTGTTCTTAGCACCGTCGGCCATAAATCTAAAACATACGTAATACCAAAGTTGCATTGTACTGTCCACATTTACCTTGCAACTGACATAGTACAAATCATCGATGATAATAGTTTGTGAGGCTCGGTGAGGCTATCCATAGAAGTGTAGAGTTTTTCTAGTACAACTGGGACAATTAGATCGGGACGTAACGCTGCTAGGTATTGCATTGCAAACGCAACTTCCTGGGTGCCGAGTCCAGAAAACATCGCTTGTTCTAGACACGGTTTCATAATATTAACAAAACGTTCAATGTCTGCGTCAGTCAGTTTAAACTCGGGAGATATCTTAAAGTCCCAAGTTATCTTCTTAAAACGCTCGCAATGTACGCGTTGTACAAAATACAACGCTAATTTTCTTAACAACTCTCGAATTTTTGGTGTCCATCTACCACAAAACAATTTACATGCACTCACAATCAACCAATTTAACATCATTATTACTTTCCAAAGTTGGCAGGATGGTAGTATGATTCTAAAGATTGCATAAATTTTTCTAAGTGGGAAAAGGCCACGTCACTCGGCCCACCTAGAGTACACACAATCCAGTTCACCATAGACGTCGCGTCAATTTTAAATGGTCTCATCAATTGCCTCCTTTGGTAACTTACAGGTAAATGAAAAGCTCTCTTAAAACGGTCAAACATAATAGGAATGTAAGGGTCCCAGTTAATACGCCCGTGGTTATAATTTGCCAAACGCGCCAGTAGACAAGTCAAATGCTACAAATTTCTCATGTAAGTTCGTCACCTAGCGTTCAATTAGTGCGCTTACATTTTCCCACACCTTGGCATTAGGACACACTCTCCACAATTCCATGAGTTCTCCCAACCAAAGCTCGTATCCCAAATGTTTCTTTTCGGGTGGAGTAACAATTGGTAATAACAATCCAAGATAATTTATAGTGTTACCGGTCTGTGTATTGTCGTACGGATATAGGTGAGGCCGAAATTCGTCCAAAATTTCTTGAGTCGCTTCCACTGGAAAGTATCTAAAAGTATGTGTATGTTTTAATGCAACATTTCGAGTTAGTACAAACGTACAAACGACAAACACAAATTAAATCTTCAACAACCATTTCAAGAGATGAAGAGTACTTATACATTCCTAAGCCACTATGGCTCTTCTCTATTAAGCGAACACACAGGTCATAAAGTGGTTTCCAATCTAGTTGAAGATCGTCGGGAGACAGTAGTTTTTTCCTAAAATATTTAATTTAATTTAATCAATAATTAACAGGGACAATAATAATAATAATAATAATAATAAATGTCTTTAATAAGTACCTATAGGTTAAATTACATAGAAATGTGTACAAAGGGCGAGATTCAGTAATGGAATGAAACATATGTACATACCATTTCTGCTCTTCCATCTAACCCATGTGATTCCGTCCATTAACAGAAAATACAAAAAAAATAAATAAAAATAATATATCTAGCAAAAAAAAAAAACCTCAAATTAAATTGTAAAATATCATTGATAAGAAGATTGTTCATGCAATAACCTCGACATGGTAGCTAATCTAAATGTTTTGTAAGGCATGCTTTGGATGTCCATAGCTAGGGAATTATACCATTTGCTGATGTTGTAGGTAAAAGATCTTTCATACATAGCTGTGGCGTGCGAGGGAGGTGTAAGCAAACCTTTGTTTCTCAAATTTAGCGTATGTACATCAGTTCTGTATTTTAATTTGCGGTATAAATAGGTGGGTTGATTATTAACTAAAATTTTATAATACGTGCTAGCAGCATGTCCAACTCTCCTATTATGCATATTTAACCATTTTAGATCGATCAACTTGTGAGTTGTGACTTACATGATCATATTTCCTCATTCCGAAAATCAATCTCACACAACTATTTTGTACTTTTTGCACACGTTTGTTATCAAAACTAGTTAAACAAGGACCATATACTACATCCGCGTGGTCAAATTGTGACAAAACCAAAGAGGAGCAGAGAAGCACACGAGTAGACCGATCCAAGCAATTCCGCATATGATATATGGTTTTAAGCGACGCATAAGATTTTCTAAGACAAGATGAGATGTGTGGTGTAAATCTAAATAAATAACAAAAGCTCAACATTAATGTTGACGTCATTAGCAACACGAATTTACATGCACAATTTTATTTTGAGGACAGCCAAAGATTGTAAAGAATGGGGTATTTATACATTACAAGCAATCCAGAACATTCCGGTATGTCTCTATGTATACTACTCTATGTACCAGATTACAAATTCAGAATGTATGGAATATCCCGAGGAATATTCTGTTCTTTTGATTTGAGATTTTCTTTAAAAAGTTGCCATTCCGAGGCTCAATTGTTTTATTGGCTGCTTTGGAAAGGCGTGAATTTTGTACTCTGTTTCGAATAAATATGGGCAGGTCTATCTCAATAGCTTTTTCATCCCACACTACTCTACAGAAACTGTCCATTTCCTACAATTTAAGCTATGGAAAATGACGTCATAATGTCATAAGCACAAAAAGAGGCAACTTTGCCCCCATTTAACCTACACTGTATCTCTCACCCTTGCAGAGATCCCAATGGTGCTCATGAATTTGAACCACTCTGTACATATCAGAATGCCCACCACGACAATAAGAGAACATCATGCTTCAAAAGAATCCTTCCTAGACCTGACCTTCCCATCTAATAGGCCGAAAGAACGTGTGTCCTAATTTGATCGAGACTGCAATGCATCTCAGCTGTTTTTAAAGATATACACATTCGGTTTTCACGACTGAGTGCCACTTTTTTGTGACACTTAATGCCACAAACAGAATCAATCTACTACCACAGAGTAGTCAATAGGAATATTTTGTTGTTTGCATTACTGAATCGTTCATATATCCGAATATTCACATAAACGCGAGTCTACTATTATATTACATACGGGGTGTCAATTTTAAAACTTGCAGTCGGCCATATTTTGCAAATTAAAGAAGATATTGAAAATCGCGCAAAACCGTTTCGGGGGTATCGAGGGGGGAACAGAATGACGTTATGAGTGACAACCCCCCACCCCCTTAACCCCCTCTTCAAAACTTCTAAATGGCAACCCCACACTTGTGACACATCGTTGAAAAGCTACTGAAAAATGCTTTCCAGTGGTACCAATAAAGTCAATGTTCATTAAGACAATTTAACAAAAATTTAATAATGAACAAAAAGAAATAAAAATTAAGCCATGCCTATGTTCAGGATTTGATCGCTAAATTCGAAGAAACGGGATCTGTTATCAATAAAAAAGAAAGCAACCAAGATTGCTTAATGAAGCAGCTCAGGTTGAAGTTCTTGGCCAATTTGCCATAAATCCCTCAATGTCAACATTTAGTTTTTTTGTGTTAATTATTACATTTTTATTAAATTGTCTTAACGAATATTGACGTTATTGGTACCACTGGAAAGTATTTGTCAGTAGCTTGCCAACGATGTGTCACAAGTATAGGGTTGACATTTAAGATTTTTGAAGAGGAGGAGCTGGGGGGTTAAGGGGGGGTGGGTGGTTGTCACCTTAGACCATATAGTACATGGTCTGCTATTAGCCCTATACTTTCAATACAAAATGGGTGGTCAAGGATAGAGGGCACTGTAGTCGTGGGTATATAAATCTCAGGGTAAACTAATGTCGTATGAACACCACTCAGATCGGGTAGAGAGTAGCTTTTATAGTAACCGCGTAGTACGGGAAACTTTAAATACTCTTGATCATCTTCTATACGTCCGCAAATAAGAATAGGTTTGCTTTTTTTTACCATACCTGGGCAATTAATTACCTGACGTTTGTTAGGTTGACAGCCTCAAATCGTGTCTCATCGGACAATTTCGGACAGACTCGTTTACCCTGAAACGCACATACCCAGGCAATGTCCTTGACCATATTTTAGTTACAATTAGCAGTCCATGTACTATATGGTCTAAGGTTGTCGCTCATAACGTCATTCTGGTTCCCCTTGATACCCCCGAAACGGCTTTGCGCGATTTTCAATATCTTCTTTAGTTTGGAAAATATGGCCGACTGCAAGTTTTAAAATTGACACCCTGTATATCATATTTTTTTAAAAATTTTGAAATGACATGTTACAACTGTCAGCCATTTTTATTGTTTGGTATCGGCTGCCCTAGTTACCATGAATAGAATAGGTACAATAAACAAAACAAAATCTCCATGAATCCATGGCCTACTATTTTAAAACAGTAAAAAGTATTGATTTTCATGACTAAATAAAAAAAATAGGTTGTGATACATCAAGGTAATTATGACAAGGAATGCAAAAAAATTCACGTTAAGAGATACAGGCTGTTGCATTTAAAAATACCAACTGTGGGTTAAATCCAAGAAACTATGGTCAAAAAATTTTTTTTACTACGCCGATTTTAAGTAGGTATGTAGAAACATCTAGCATATACAGTGAATTTTTTTTAAATGCGAACATAGGAGTTTGCATGCAATGTAATTTCTCTATGTTCCATTTTAAAAAAAGCACATGAACCTATTGAGTAGTTCAAATGAGTAGTAGATACCACAGATAAACGGAGCTTTACAGATAGCTCGTCCTTATGGGCGACTTGTCGCGGCTAACGCTCGAGAAATGGAAAGATTTTTTAGTAGTATGGAAAGATTTCGTTGGTTTTGTTGGTGGCGCGAACGTCAGTCTCTCGTTTTGCGTGTACTTGTAACCATCTAACGAAGTTTACGCTCGCGTGGAAATTAAATACTAGTGCATCAAGTTAAATTTAAGAATGCCGTTAGCTGGCGGAAATAAGTGTATTTATATAAATTGCGATAAAACTCGTAGAAATTTTAAAGGACTAAAATTATTTTGTTTTCGTAATCATCCCGAATGGTTAAAAAATTGTGGTAAGTACCTATAAGTTGTAATAATTTGATTACAATTTACCGAATAACTTTTATATTGAAAAGTAACAATATGAGCTCGGATTATGCATTTTTAATTACATAGAACAATATTTTTACATGCATATTTGCATTTTTGAACTTTCCATTACGGACTATACCGGGTGATCCAGAATGACTGCGGACAATTTGAATTTCCCGAAAAACAAACCGTTTATAAAGTTAGTAATATGCCAAATTTCATTTATTGTGTGGTGGATGAACTAGTTATTATTGGGCCTTGTGTGTTCGGGGAAACCACGACCGCCAGCGTGTTAAGTAAAAATCAGTAACTATTTAAAGCGCCAAATTCAAACTGTCTGCAGTCATTCTGGATCACCCGTTATATGAAAGTGTACAAATCTTAGTGTCAACCCTAATATAATTTTATTATTTTTAGGTAACGCAGATTTGCTAACTCTATCTCCGACTTCATTGAAAAAGAAGTTTGTGTGTCAATTTCATTTCAAAAATGAAAGCATTTCGGCTTCTGGTAGATTATCAAAATGTGCTGTACCAATTCATTTTAAACATTCTGAACATGGAATGGATGCAAATGAACTTAGCCCATCAACATCTTTAGCATCTACATCATTAAAAGTTTTAACTCCAAAACGCAAATATGTGGCAAAAAATTTACGTTATTCACCAAAAATCTTAGATGAATCTGATATAGACGTGTCTTTCTCTGTGTCTCTACAAGAAAAGGAGTTGCTCCATGATGCTAGTGATTTTCCTTCGCCAAAGCCACGCAAACGAAAATTAATTTCTAACGATGAGACACCAAAAACAAAAAAAATTAAAAAATTATCACGTCACGTCCAAGTTCAAAGTAAGTTACTAGCAACTAAGCGGTCCCAACTGTCAAGACTAAAAAAATCAAAAAAAAAATTTATCTATCGGAACATTGCTGATACTTTAAAAAATGTGAAATATCCATCTGCAAAATCAAAAACATTAGCACTAATGCAAATGCGCAACAGGAAAACCACCTGGACAAAGGACGAAAAAGAGCTGGCAATATATATATTTTATACCTGGCCAGCCTGTTATAACGCAATGAGAAGGCAAAAAATTGTTTTGCCTGGATTGAGCACTGTGAAGAAATGGATAGGGCAGTCAAATTTTTGTCCGGGTTTCAATGTTGATTTTTTAAATCAAATATCTATAAAAGCTAAAGCTATGAGAATAAATGAAAAAATTGTTGTATTGTGTTTCGATGAGATGGCAAAAAAAGCAGATCTGGAATATTCCAAATCTTTGGATATAATCGAAGGGCTTGAAGATAATAATAA